TCTTGTGCTAACAAGGTAAGCCAACATGTCATCAGCAGTGTGCACACTCTTCAGTATTGCCTAGCACCTAACACTGACCTTCAGAAGACTACCATTCACCTTTACCTTCTAAAATCTCTTGTTGCCATCCAGAAACTAGAACTACACAAGGAAGGAAATTCTGGGAAACAAAGTTCCAGGTTAGCTAAGTTGACACAGTCCGAAGCTAATGTATGTAGCCTAGTTTAATACATATCTCAAAGGAGATGACAATGTGACACCTGGAATAGGACTTACCAACAGACTAAAACAAGATAAAAATGAAGACCATTTTCTTATGCACACTTGGCTAAGAACATCTATCAATTCTTCAGACAGAAAAAAAAAAAATGAATGTAGGAAATTAAACAATTACAGTGCTCTACACAATTTGAAGTGTAGTAGTTAAGAGCACAGGCTTTATAAAGTCAGAAATCCCACTAACAAGCTCTGTGTTCTTATGCAAGTTTATTTTCTTTGTGATTCATTTCTACATCTGCAAATAGGAATAATAAATTTTTTTTCATAGGCTTAGTGTGAAGATTAAATGTGTTAATAAAGAGAAAGCATTTAGACCAGTGTGTAATGCATAAATTCTTATTAAATGTTAATGTTACATATAATCATGCTTTAACCTTATAATAAAATATATACATTTAGGATTCTCAGCAAATGTCTAGGTTGTCTTCATAAAGTTCTGAATGAAATGTTTCCTCCATATGTTATGTGTCTCTGCCTATTGGTTGTAGGCAAGATTCTGGTGTGCAGAATGGGAAAAACCAAGTCTGCTGTTTCTCTTGCTGAATGCTTCTCATTCAAGGAAGTGTCTGAATCAATATACACCTTATTACCATGAATTATTAACACTTCTATTTATTTATACATCTCAACATAGGACATCTGAACTATAAAAATGATATATTCACATTCCATGAATAATCACAGAGAAAGCAAAAACCATCTTTTTAAAAAAACTCTTCTAATTCTTCCCTGTTTAGTGAAGACCTTCTCAGGTAAATAAAGCCAAATGTTCGAGTAAGTGCTACCGTGGCTTATCAGACTTAATTCTGGATCTGGGATGACTTTCAGTAGAATGTGTGCACATTTGTGTGTGTGTGCACGTGTGTACATTTATGTTACCAAATCAGAGTTTGTATTTAGTAGATTTTCACAGCTAATTTGGCTGATTGTATTTGTTACTTTAAAACATTCAATACCTTTTTGGTGGTAGGCCTGGGGAAACTGGTTAAGGACGTTTATAATAGAACCATTTCCTTTTTGTAACCTAGGTGTGGCTGAGCCTTTCTAATTGTTGTTATCCAAATAAAGGGAAGCCTTTAATAACATATAAAAAATTGTAGACTTGCATCCTATAAAATAGATTTTACAGTATATAAAATATTATCCATAGCCATAACATGTGCACCATATGTATTAGCATATATGAGAAATTGGATGTGGTGAGTAGGATGTGGTCAGTGGGATGGGCATCACAATGTACTCGAAGAAGCACATACACATGGAATATCATTTTTCCCATGCTTCACTCTCTACTTAAGTGATAGAAAATTATTCTACCTTTAATAATGCTTCAGTTTGAGAGCTACAGATCACACACACACAAAAATCTCAACTTTTAGACTCTAGTCTTTTACATTCTTACTAACTAAAGCATTGTTAATGGGTTGAATTGTGGTTTTTCTAAAAGATATTTTGGCCCGCCGGGTGTGGCTCAGTGGTTGAGCATTGACCTAACATCCTAGGCGATCGGGGTTCGATTCCCGGTCAGGGCACATGCCCGGGTTGCGGGCTGCAGCCTGCAGCCGATCAATGACTCTCTCATCATTGATGTTTCTATCTCTCTCTCTCCCCCTCTCCTTTCCTCTCTCTGAAATCAATAAAGATATATTTTAAAAATAAATAAAATAAAATAAAAGATATTTTGAAGTCCTAACCCCCAGTGCTTCAGAATGTCATGTCATATGGAAATAGCATCTTTAAAGAGGTAATTAAGTTAAAATGAGGTCATCAGAGTGGGTTCTAATCTGACTGGTGTCTTTATAAAAGAAGAAAATTTGGAAATGGAGACAGATATGCACAGAAGGAAGACAATGTGAAGAAACTGAAGGAGAATGACATGTGAGGACATAGGTTGGAGTGATATCATGTATCTATAAGCCAAGGAATGCCTGAGGCTACCAAAAGTTAGAAGAGAGGCATGGAATGTCTTGAGTGCCTTCAGAGGTAGTATGGCCCTGCCAACACCTCTATTTTGGACTTTTGGCCTCCAGAACTGTAAGACAATAAATTTCTATTGTATTTAAGCCTCCCAGTTTATGGTACTCTGATACAGAAGCCCTAGGAAACTAATATAAGCACCTTTTCAGAATTGTAGTTTCTTCTTCACAGGAAGGAGGGTCTTAGTGAGTACCAATATTTCCTTTATCTTTAAAGTTTTCACATGAAATTGAATGCTCTTTCATAATACCTTAAAATCGTATCACTACAAAAAAATCTCAATTTTTAGACTCTAGTTTTTTACATTCTTACTAAATTCTGTAAATTAATATATTTCTAATATTTGATCCATAATAATCTGAACAATATCAATGACCCCCTAATGGTTCAAGTCAAGATATTCTATTTTCAGGTACCAAAAGGTCAGTAAAAAATGTCCAAAGCAATAGTACTATAGAGAGAAAAGAGGAATTAATGGCAAAGATAATAAAGGGGAATAGTTTAGGGATTAAAATAATTATTTCACTTTTTTGTTGTTATTAATCCTCATCCAAGGATACTTTTTCCATTGATTTTTTTAGAGAGAGTGGAAGGGAGGGGGAGAGACAGAGAGAGGGAAACATCGATGTGAGAGAGACACATCAATTAGCTGCCTCCCACACGTGCCCCGACTGGGCCCGGGGATCGAGCCTGCAACCAAGGTACATGCCCTTGACTGGAAATCGAACCCAAGACTGTTCAGTCTGTGAGCTGACACTCTAACCACTTAGCCAAACCAGCTAGGGCAATCATTTCATTTTTTTTTTTTTTTTAAAAGAAGAATGTTTTTATTTATTTCAGAGAAAGGAAGGGAGAGGGAGAGAAACATCAGTAAGAGTCATTGATTGGCTGACTCCTGCACGCCCCCTACTGGGGATCGAGCCTGAAACCTGGGCATTTGCCCTGACCGGGAATCAAACTGTGACCTCCAGGTTCATGGGTCAACACTCAACCACTTGGGCACACTGGCCTGGCTCCTTTCGCCTTTTCAATGAGAAGCCAAATGACTGGTATGGCAAGTAGGCTCTAAGATGGCCCCTGTGATCCTTGCCTCCTGGTCTTCATGTCCTTGTGTCATGCCCTCATTTTGAGTGTGAGTGGGGTCTGTGACTTGCTTCTAACCAGCAGAATATGTCAAAAGTGACAGGATGTCACTTCCATGATTACGTTGTCACCCTTGTCTTGCCATCAGACTCTATTGATTCTGCCTTGTGGGCTTTGATAAAGAAAGCCGCCATATAGAGAGGCCCTTCCTCAGAATAAGACTGGTATTAACTTCTGTGGTTGCATGACAATTACCATAAACTTAGTAAATTAAAACTACATATATTTATTATCTCACAGTCTTCATGGGTTAGGAGCCCGGGCACTGCTTAACTGGGTCCTCTGCTCAAGGCCTCACAAGACTTCAGTTAAGGTATCAGCCAGTGCTGTGGTCTCATCTGAGGATCGAGTTCCTCTTCAAGGCTCACTGGTTGCTGACGGAATACAGTACTTTGCAGTTGTAGGACGGAGGCCATCAGATTCTAGAGGCTCCCCACCATTCCCTGGCACATTGCCCTTTCCATAATGTGGCAGTTTGTTTCTTCAAGGCTAATAGGAAAATCATCTCTACTTCTACTTCTTCCATGTCTGAGTTCTAGAGGCTCTTCAAAAGGACTCACCTGATTAGGTCAGGCCCACCTAGGGTTATTTCCCTTTTGCTTAAAGTTAACAGATTAGGAATTTTAATTATATCTGTAAATCCTTTCACCTCTTCCATATAATGTAACCTAAGAAATAAAGTGATATCTCACTATATTTACTGGTCTCACCCACACTCAAGGGTAAAGGATTTTTCAGGGAAAGTACACTAGCAGGCAGGAACCTTGGAGGCCATCTTAGAGTTCTGCTGACCACAACTGGAATGTCCTATTCCTATTTGTGAGTTTATTTCCATTTGGCTCCTATAGTTTATACTTTGGCAAAGTATTTTTGCAATACTGTACTATTACTACAAGGGGCAATAGCAAAACTTTTAATTAAATTTACCTTTAATAAAATTAGAATTCCACTAAATATAATATTTACACAGAAGGTTACTTTGTAAGATTTCAAAATCACATCTACTCTAATCTAACATCCTTACAACCCTTGTGCATAAAGCACAAAGATGGTATTTCTTTTTCTTTGTTGAACTGGGACAATGATCACTGTAATTGAAAAAGAAAATGTTCAGAAGCTAGAATGGGGAAAATGAAGTTAGTCTGCTTCATTAAATAAGCATCATTTGTGAGCACAGGAAAGCAATGTCTCTATCAGTGTAGACTTAACAGCTTCACCCTTTCTATTCCTGTGGCAGAGCATTGTGTGTTACAGCCAACCTTGGTCACCACTGTCAATGCTAGATTCAGTTGAAATAGCAAGACTGGCTATGTTTGGTTCTCCTGTGGTGGTGATCTGTGGTCAAACACTCCAGATCACACCACATAATCTGCAATGTCTTCATGCCAAATCACCTCCCTGAAAAAAGGAGTGGGAGGCAAAGAAATTTCAACACAGTTTCTCTATAAAGATGTACTGTTTACAGTTATACTGAAATTTCCCTTACTCAGAGGTAAAAGCTTTTTATGGCTTTCAATATTTTAAAATTAGACATATTTTTTTGCCCCCGTTTTGTCAACTGATAACTACAAGTACCCCAAAATTTTATTCATAGTCATCCATTTAAACAGTGGAACTGACCAGATATAGTTTATTAAAATATGCTTATTTAAAACAATTTTGACGCAGTTTTTAAAAATTGCAAATACATTAAAAACTGTTACAGTGTCTTGAGGTTGTAAATATTGCCTTATGAAATTACAAGATGTAAAACTGTTTAGTAAAAACTGTGAAATCTTAATTCAACCTTCACATATAAAAATATATTTTTATGAAACACTGAACAGTTAAGGCCACAACACTTAGAGTTTGAGATATACATATTTTGAAATTGCTTGTCAAAAATATTAGCATAAATAAATTATCAAAACTGGTCATACTATTCAAACCAAATAAAGCATATTAACTTATACCTTCAAGTTTGTTATCAGAAACATTCCTTAAGAAGTCATGTTTTTCAAGTATAAACTACAATGTGCTTGGTGACCACATAAATATGTATTTAAAGTATTACACAGGATTTTGATGTTTTCTCAGTATTTGGGGGTGACGTATCCTGATTATTTTGCCCAATGTGGCTCTGTTTGAAATCCTTCTTATTGCTTTTTAAAGCTATTTGATCTCCTACTGATTTTATCTCTGGAAGTGGCTCATTATTATTCAGCATACTTTTCATACTCATCAATGACAGTCTTTTAAAAAGGTAAGTCTAGAAAAAACACAAAAAATTCATTTCAGTAAGTGAAATATTCACTTAATAGTATTTGGGGGGGTGTACAATTTTCAACAAGTCTTAACATTATTTCATCACATCTTTATGGGGCACCATATGTACATTCTTAGTATCTATAAGCCTTTTTTCTTTTACCAATGACAATCATGATTCCTCCTTGAGAAACTAGCTGGAACATGGCAGAGAAAAGGTAGTTGCCAGGAAGGCAAAAATCCACAGGCTTACTTTTGATAGAGAAATTCTCATCTCAGACTTTTATTTATGAGAATGACAATGAATAAGAAATCTATTGACTTCAAAGTGGCACTGGATCTTTAACCTCTGTATCTGCAGCCTCTAGCCTTGTGCCTGGGACATAAGAGATACCCAATTAATATATGCTAAGTAAATACACATATGAACTAATTCCACAATGAAAAGAAATTCTTTTCAATAGCTGAAAAGCATACTGCTTTTTAAATTAGTTTACGTGGGTGGAAGGAAATCAAGCCAATAACATGATCTTCTTAGTAGCTAACTGTGGATCCAAATAAGTATTGACTACAGTTTAGAAAAGCATATTTGGTAATTTCTAGATATAACAATCACCTACCAAAATATCTCTGCTTCCAATTAAAATCATAGGTTCTGACCTGGCTGAGAAATTTTTAAATTATCAAAACAAAATTCAGTGGCAAATGCTGTCTTGTAGACACCAAGAGTGCAATTCTTTTTTCTTTTTCTTTTTTATATTATCCTTAAAGTGTCTATTTAACTAAGGAAAGGGGATACAAAATCTCAAACACATGTTTATTTTGAAATGTGTTAATGAACTACCTTTGTCCAAGTTTTAAAAAGTTTGGTTTGTTTGGCTTGAATAATGTAAAAAGGTTAGAGATACTGTAGACAAAAATGTCACATGAGAATGATTGAAAAAAATCTCATTCAAGTTATCTATTTCCTTTTTAAAATACGTAGAATAACAGTATATTCCTTAAGTCAGGAATATACTTATTACTGCTTGATTTTTAAAATATAATTTTCATTACCTTTTCTTTCCTTTAACCAAGAAAATGTGTATTTACTGAAATATGTTTTTCTACTAGGTATAAATGAGAATTTAAGCAGAATCAAAGTTGAAGACTGAACTCTTCAGCCTGGCCCTTGTCCTGGCTTAACCTTACCTTTGTCCCATCCACTGGCACTTGGGTGCCCTGCTTGGTCTGCTCCTACAGATGCGTGATATTCTGCCTCCTGCACACCATTCCTTCCCAGGCTCAGCCTTCTCTCCTATACTGTATATCTAAGTCCTACCACTTACAGGCAATGCTGAAGACTAGAGAGGTTGAAAGTCCCTAAAACTTGACCATGTATTCTAGAATACACGTTTTCATTTGGTCAAAGGTGTGTTTTCCAATATTCTTTTTTTTTTTTTTTTTT